CAATAGTACCACAAAGAAGGAGGAATTTCGTTCCCAATGCTTCATGAACATTCAAGCCTGAGACGGCGTTGTATGAATAAAAAAGAAGAAAAGAATGTGTATCATACATTCCTGTCAAACATATTGCAGGGAATGTTTAGATGCGCTGAGTAGCCCTGTAATCGAAAGCTCATATCTTCTTTGGAACAGCATCCGTTTGTTTCGTGAGCGGAACCATATTATCAGTATTTTTTAAAAAGTAAACTTAATATGCAGGCAATTTATGGGGTTATTGACTTGTCGAACCAAGATAATCTGCTGAAGAGAGTGTGAAAAGTAAACATGTTGTTCTTGCATAACATATCACGCCGGTTTGTGTAAACAGATCACAGCCTACTTGATGGAACTGTTTAACAGTTATTATGGAAAGATAGTACTGTTTTGACGCTTTCCCCATATATATCACCCTAAACGGTGTAAGAAAGCTAACTACGGTGGTTGAAGTCTACTGACAAGCTCAAGATTTCTCCACGCAGTTTATACGATGTGGGAATATGCACGTCGCTGAATTACAATGCATGACATTTATATGTAAAAGGCGTAAGAGGCGACTAACGGGATCGGGTGGTCGGGCTCGCAGACTTGGTTGGGGCATGGCATCGTATCCCAATTGCGTGGATCGATGCTCATGATGTCAATCACTGGATTATCTGGTCCAGTGTCGATTATTTACAGACCGCCATCATATAGCTGGAATATTGCTGAATGCGGCGTTAAACAACAAACAAATAAACATTTTATTGGTTTGATATCGAAAACTATATTTACATATACACCTAGACTTTGAAACGAACATTTTGAAAAGCTGAAAGAGCGAGGCAAACAACTTACTATTACACTTAGTTCCGACTTGCTGATCATGATATCCTCGTGTCCATATCGGGTTTGAATTGATCCCCAGCAATCTATGCTTGTGGTAGGACGATCAGGTGTTCAGACTCTTTGACCTGGTTGATTGCATGTCACAGTACCTCAGCAGCGTGTATGCTTGTCGTAAGAGGCAACTAACGGGATCGGGTGGTCAGGCTCGCAGACTTGGTTGATGTATGTCCTCGATCCCAATTGCGTGGATCGATGCTCATGATGTCAATCACTGGATTGTCTGGTCCAGACTCGATTATTTACAGACCGCCGTCATATAGCTGGAATATTGCTGAGTGCGCCGTTAAACAACAAACCAACCAACCAACTACTTTACGCTAATCTTTAATGTGACGATAAATGTGTTCGCCCACTGAGGTAAATACCATCCAAGTAATAAGAATCATATCTGCTAAACCGATGTTGTTGTCATCAGGCATATGCCACATGTGCCTACACCAGTGTATATATTCTCCTATGGTTCAGAGAGATATATAAGATGCCATGTTCTGGAGTCCAGCAGGTTTGTCTTGATGAATGCTCTGGGTTTCAGTTTAGTTTTTACTTTGACACAGTCGGGGTCCGGAACTCCTTCCTCCACACTCCCCATCATGCCTTCGAGGCCGCCCGGAAGCACATAAACACATCAGCCTGCTCATGCAATATTATTAAACTTTATGCAGCTGATATTCTGAATGTATCATGGATTTTTCTTTCCTAATATGGTTAGTTATTCTCATACATATAGTACAGAACTTTGATATAAGTGAAATCGAATAAATAAGACCAATGTACTGGACACGTAACGTTCGGATTGAGTGGCTACAAAGATATAATGAAACAGAATATTTTGGTAGATTAACATTTGGTATCCTTTAACACTCAACTGTATATGCGCCAGTCTTTCGGGAATGATTGATCAAAAAGCACGACCACGACGATGTCATGGTTTGTGTTAATCGACAATTCTCGAAGGCGTAACTTGTTCTATTCTGTTACGCGTTCACCCATATGGAGCTATGTTTGAAGTAAACGTGCAATGTATTTGTAATATATTTCTGAATGAACTATTTCGTTTTTGTATCCAGATAAAGAGGCACTTTATCTTCCCTGTTATTTTGGTTTCAACGTTACTTAAACGACGTTTTACCCGCCTCGTTGGTTGGTTGGTTGGTTTGTTGTTTAACGCCGCACTCAGCAATATTCCAGCTATATGACGGCGGTCTGTAAATTATCGAGTCTGGAGCAGACAATCCAGTGATTGATATCATGAGCATCTATCCACGCAATTGGGATCGATGACATGCATCAACCAAGTTAGCGAGCCTGACCACCCGATCCCGTTAGTCGCCTTTTACGACAAGCAAAGTCGCCTTTTACGGCAAGTATTACCCGCCTGGACTGAACCATCAGAATCAGTATGGTATCTTTCCAAACATCATTGACGTAATTTCAACGTCATTGAAATTCCATGTGGAACACTCATGATGACTATGTTTTGGTTCGGCATGCTGATATACCATGGGGTTAATTGAACTGTAAACAAAACATGCTCATGTAGCATGAGCGGTGTCGTACATAACCCAGGTGATGTGGACGTACTGCATCATTAACAGTTAATGGTTTTCGTTTGGTCAAATTAATTCAATTTGGTTTTGGGTTTTAAAGTTAGATATCCTGAGCACATCAATACTTGTGTTCGCATTTTTTTATTAGTTAACAAAGTTGGAAAAATTCAATTTACAACTTCTGATATAAGTGTGAATGTATGTGTATGGTATATGCAGTAAATGCCTTTAATATCAGTTTTCTCTGATTGTGCTTACACTGCATGCTCAGTTTAAATGAAAATGTTTGTTTTGCTGTGTGACCTGTAAATACGAATCTTATATGGTACATGGGAAGTCCTCATTGTCAGGATAGCAGTATTTTGAGTCTTTGTTTCCATGATTCTGCAGGTTCATGTCAGTGCTCCTTGGTTTTAGAAGCGATGTCATGAAACACAAGAAATACTTCATTCTACATGACCCGTGAAGACTCCGAGGTAGAATAGGTCTTAAACAACCCATACTTACCGTAAAAGGCGACTATGCTTGTCGTAAAAGGCGACTAACGGGATCGGGTGGTCAGGCTCGCTGACTTGGTTGATACATGTCATCGATCCTAATTGCGTGGATCGATGCTCATGATGTCAATCACTGGATTGTCTGGTCCAGACTCGATTATTTTACAGACCGCCGTCATATAGCTGGAATATTGCTGAGTGCGGCGTTAAACAAGAAACAAACAAACATCATTCTACATACCCACCAAACTCTTCATTTATAATCAAATTATGGCAACATTCTCTTTCGTTGTTATATTTTCGTCATTATACAAGTGCACTTTTGGCTATCAAAACAATCTAATACATGAAATCCTTTTACATGCACACGGTGGATGGGATTGATACTGAAAACTTCAAAATGTTGACAGCTACATGTTGTCTGAGATGTGATCAATTACGATGTAATGTACATTTGGCATGTTCCTCGTTTCGCAAGGACTCTAGGATGTCTGGCAATATTTACCCAACACACATACTCTATTCGCTGTGATAAAGTATTAACATACATGTTCGTGTCAGATTCCTTGTGATTGAGTTAATGTTGACAGTTCTGCAGTTAGCGTTTCTTACTTGCAGTATTTTTATCAATCAGGTAAGCCCAGTGGTATATGAACAGAAGAACGTTTGTGTTTCCGACAAAACGGGTGTCCCAGTAGTTAAAAAGGCCGCTCCTCCCTGTGCCGAGTTGCGTGCAAAGATGACAGGATCGTCGGTTAAATGTAACCGGAGTATAATCTGTAGTTTTTCGGTATGCCATGGGTATGTATCAATTCGGGGAAACCCAAGTGCGTGGGTTTCGCCGAAATGTTTGTTTGTTTGTTTGTTGTTTAACGCCGCACTAAGCAATATTCCAGGTTTATGACGGCGGTCTGTTAATAATCGAGCCTGACCACCCAATCCCGGTGGTCGCCTCTTACGAAAAGCATAGTACTAGCCTTTTACGGCAAGCATGGGTTGCTGAAGAGCTAGCTATTCTACCCCGGCTCTTCACCGAAATGATACATACCCGTGGCATACTGTATAAGCTGCTTCTCATGATATGACTGCAATACCATCATTACTGTATAAACCTTTCTTTCGGTTTGATCTGTAAATATTTATTTGGAATTATATAAACATTTGAAATACACAACATTCAGACACGAAACTAATTTTAAAAAGTTAACAATGTAGATGTATTCTCAACATGCTGCATTCGCGTAAGTTTCGGCCCCATGGGTCAAAACAATAGGCTTGCCGTAAAAGGCGACTATGCTTGCCGTTAAAGGCGACTAACAGGATCGGGTGGGTCAGGTTCGCTGACTTGGTTGATGCATGTCATCGATCCCAATTGGGTGGATCGATGTTGATGATGTCAATCACTAGATTGTCTGGTCCAGGCTCGATTATTTTCAGACCGCCGTCATATAGCTGGAATATTGCTGAGTGCGGCGTAAAACAACAAACCAAACCAAACCAAAAGGTTAGACATCTGTGTCGCAAACATGGTAAATTAATCTAATTACATTTTACGAATTTCATCCAGCGAAAATCACCACTCTTGCACTTTGTTGAAATGTTCAAAACTCTATTGTAAATTCCACGTGTTTTAGTTCGGAAATGAAACGTGAAGGAAGGAACATGATTCTAAAAACTGGCGAACGGGCTTTTTAACCTGCCTGTCATCGTCACTGAATAAGGAAAGTATCATTAGACAATAAAAAACTTCAGACCTGCTCAGCAAAAACCTATGAGAAAATAGTTATGTATAAGCAACTATATAACCTATATTTGATCACACGTGTTGTTTGCAATACCTCAACAGCTCATACATTAACAAGAACAGAGAAGCTATACTGCAAGTCAGGGGTATCCCACTTCCCCACCGCGCTCACTCTGATACCCTCAACCGCATACCGTCATCCTCTTGTAACATAACTTGCCACATGCTTTTGTAGCCGCCGCGAGTTCGACAGCCTCCTCCACACTTCTGCCTTCCGCTCAGCGCCCTCTGCCTGCACGCGATCGAGGCGATCCCGGGGGTATATCACCGGCTGCCAGCACCCCCGCGTCAGTTGGATGGAAACTCGTTGATATAACATCGACTGCTCATGAATGAAATCAAGCACAGGGCTTCGTAGTAGAAATGTGTACACGGATTTTGGATATTTTCCTAATTCTGAACTACAGTGCCAAGTGTTAGCTTTCTTTTCGGTCTTTGAAATATCTCTTCGCGGGGATAAAAGAAACGTCCGTGGTTTTGAGAAGTCGTTTAACGTTGATGTCTAGAGATTTCTCCCACGAAGTGCACTAGAAGTTTCATCCAAGTAACTCTACACGGCGTTTCTGTGTATCTGTATGTGTGACGGCAGTTGATGGAAATTTAACCATGGGCATCAAAAGTGAATTCCGTACCTGTAATTTTGGATTAAACCACAGTGAACCTCGTATATTCGTTTCATCTCAGGTACGTGCTCCTTTCTATATTGAAATTAAATATATTAAATTGTTTCCTAAATTTATGTTGGTCATTTATTCGTTAATATAATTGTAGTCTTCTCAGGGAATGAAGTTAAATCAGAAGAGTGATTTGAATGGGACACATTGTTTGGAAAGGTGATCGTCGAAACTTAGATTGTCAGTGAAACTGATAATGGCCAGAGGACTCACTTGCTCACTCACTCACTCACTCACTCTAATTGATGGTTAAAAATTATTGTCCCCCTGAGAGGGTATGTAAGGCCACGTCTTTCAAAGTGTATTTTTTCTTCCACGTTTTTAATAGTAGAATATGTGTTATTTTAATGTTCGGCTAAATTTGACAGCAATCGCCAACAACTGAAGGGATGATGTAAATCCGGCTGGGGTCCATGCAGGTAGCAAAAGTACTGTAAGTCCCCAGGGCTCCCAGAGCGGGGATCAACCTTCAGTTGGTGGCGATCTATAGCCCGTTTTTATCATGTGTTATTGTATGATTAGTTAGTTATCTATTTTTACATTTTCTGAAACTAGTTTTCTAGTTATTATACTGCTCTTCGTCGGCAGAATTTTATACAGTTTAATATATATTGTTAATATCAAATTTTGTTTCGTCACGATATGGCTGGAATAATGCCGATGTGACGTTAAACTTTAACTCACTCTCTCACTCACTAATTGATGGTTAACGATGTGATTATACGCTGGGGGTGTCGGTGGCGCTACTGTAATTCAGCAGAAACCCAGTATGTATAATTGACAGGACATAAGTAATAGCCGGTAATCTAGTAGTGAGATAACAATAACTATGAGCCTGGGGTCTTGCAACTGATACCCTATAACCTGTACTTATCACGCCTGATGGTATTGAAATCGGTGACTTACTGACTGGAGAGTTCAGGCCGTTGTTCTATTTTGCAAGTAATATTGTGTTTTGCTCTTATCTCAGTGGGGCCACCCTCGTCTCTACCTGTCCTGGAGGATATTCTGGGCTCTGTTTCATACATCATGGCTGGTCAGTAGCATGGTGTCTTCGACCAAAGTGACGTCATCACCGCTAGGTGGCGCTGTATGGTTCATCTATCTCACGAACTGGACCTACCTCTTGCTGACCACCAGTACTGTCCTGGACGCAGTCATCGTGGTGTTCGTCAGGATCAACAGACAGGACATTATTAATGGTATAATTCGCATTTCTATCAAAGTCAAATTTTTTTTTAACTAATCAGCGAAGTGAAATCAGTCTCACAGTCACAGTTACAGTCATATAAATCTGAATCATCAGCAAAACAAAACCCTTTGGCAACACCGATTGACATCACTTAGTGGGCTCTGATCTTTGTTGATGTTACCAGGTGACTTTGGCCAAAGGTTGTCATATGGTTCGTAATCCTCAGTTTCAATCTGCTTCTTTTTTTTTACCAGTTTTGTTTTTCTTGACTCAACACGAAGTGTAAGTCCATGTACTAGTCCGACATTACTTAGTCTAGTCAGCCTTTACTCATCACATTAACGTTATAGACATCTTGTAAAAACGTAATTTTCCAAACGTAAATATCTCTTGGGCAGCAAGTGGAAATTGGGTTACAAAACTATTATTTTTCTCATCTTCTCGTGCCAGACGTGCCAGAAACCAGTGATTATGCGTCCTTGTCCTGATTCGCGCTGATTATGCTTCTATGTTTTGTCAGCACCATACCCGTGCCTGTGGATTTCATCAAAGTGGTAATAGACGTCTGAGTCCTGCATCATTTCGGACTTTCCTCTCCCACCATGATGACGCCTTAATATAACTGAAATATTGTTCAAGCAGCATTAATCCGAACTCAAGGCGTGTCACCTCAATGAGGGAGGAAAGCCCGAAGTGATGCCGGTCTTAGACGTTTACCACTTTGGTGAACCCACAAGCACGGATATGGTGTTGACATCCTTGAAACATAATCGGCACGAACCGGGATTCGACCTCACAATCACAGGTTTTATGTATCCAATGAACACAACTCTGCGCAGCGAACATTACAGTATAGGGTATAAATAATTAATTTTACAGAAGCCTTTCTGTCTGATTTTCAGGTTTTACCTCATATCTACCGTGGTACCTGAAGGTATCTTGGCTCCTCAACAGTGTCGTCACTGAAGGGAGTTTCCACATTAGCGCCATCTATTGGAGTTTTGTTTTTACAGGTATGCTTATTAGTGTCCTGTCATATATATGCACAAACGTTAATTTGTCATGTAATATGTAATACTTTAACAATTGTCATTTCACATCGTTTCGTTTTGTAAGCTATACATAATGCTGTTGCATTATTCAGGAGACACCGTGTTATGTCATGGGTCGATGACGTGTTATTTAAAGTTAATACATGTAGATACGTTACAGTTTCGCCAGTCCAATGTCGGTGTCATTCTTAGGTCTCTATCATTTATATTGGTGAATAAATTTCATGTTTACGTTTTCAGATCAAAATATAACAGTTTTGAGATTCATCCTTCACGGTATGAACTCCATCTACGTCTTGTGCAACCTCTTCATCACCGCCATGCCAGTACGTGTGTATCACGTGATCTACCCAGTTATCTATGGCGTCATCTACACAGTTTTCAGTGTCGTTTATTACATTCTTGGTGGGACCAATGAAAAGGGAGAACCGTATATCTACAAGATTCTTGATTGGTCCAATTTAAAGCGGACTCTACCTCTTGTGTTTCTGAGTACATTTGTAGCTCTACCTTGTTTATATTTAGTTGTTTTCTTTATTCACAAACTGAGAATATACCTGCGTTCGAAATGTCTCCATGACAACAATGACATGAGGATCTTGGACACATCAAACGAAAGAACTGACAGTGAATGTGCGCGTGTTTGAATAATATTATATATCGTGTTACCGTTCAGACAAAACAGGAATCGTGTTAATAGTCCTTAAAAAATAGACCAGTCTCAATGGTACGATTTCAAGTAATTTTTTAATCTCATGTAGCTTCGCGAACACCAAGTGCCATCACCAGTGATCCATTCGTATATTTTTCACCGCTATTTTGCCTTTTACACCGGACGGAATCTGTTTCGGAGAACAGTCGAGACTGGTCATTCTCTGGTGTTACATATTTTGGAAAGGACAAATTGAATGGATCTACCTTTGTGACTGCATTTCACCTGGTATATGCAGAGGGATCATTGCGACGAACATACAGAGAGGCCGTTGCTTGCGCTAGACTTAGACAAAGACATTATCCAATGGGAACCTGTAGATATACTTCCATGAAAATGGCACTGTCAAGATGTTATACTTACGCTTGGTCGATCTGTTGTATTATACACGTGGTACTAACGCACGTTATAAATATGTCCATGATGTGTCTGATTTTCTCAATACATTTTAATACTATTTGTTACATTGTTCTTTTATCGTAACCAAATAATGTATATTTGAATTAGGGCATTTTGAGTTAACTTGAACGACGGCGGTGAATTCAGGTCCTCTGTCCCTTGCTAATCCATATATTGCCCACTGTATTAGTGTAGGTCGTAATGATATGCTTAGAAAATACTCATGGAATATTCAGTCTACGTCACAACCCGAACAGGAGGATAACACGTGCATGACATGAAGACACATGTCGTGCAAACGGGTCTGCTTCTCTTAATCAGCACGTTATACTTTCACGAACAGAAATACAATATGAACTACAGCATGCTCGTGGTGAAATCATAATACTCGCCCACCATTTAATACATAACAGATGCTACAAAGCGTGAATTCTGTGGTCCCCTTGGGGATTCCGGTTTAGAATGATAGGAACCCATGCTTGTTGTACGAAGTGACTGATTTGTTCGGGTTGTCAGTCTCGGTGACTTTGTCACTGGTGTGTCCTGACTCGATTATTTACAAGGCACCGTCATATTGCAGGAATGTCGTATGTTCTTTTCTTTCAGTTTCACAATGATAAACAAACACTGTAAAGCTACCTCTTCCTGGTACGACGAATGCACATGTGAGTGCCGTGTTATGTGTGTATGCATGCATACACGTACAGATTGCTATTATGATTACATTATTACGTGAGACCCGTGAAGATCCGGAATAGAATAGGTCTTCAGCAACCCATGCTTGCCGTAAAAGGCGACTATGCTTGTCGAGATCGGGTGGTCAGGCTCGCTGACTTGGTTGATGCATGTCATCGAATCTCAATTACGTGGTTCAATGCTCATGATGTCAATCACTGGATTGTCTGGTCAAGGCTCGATAATTTACAGACCGCCATCATTTAGGTGGAATATTGCTGAATGCGGCGTTAAACGACAAACAATCAAATAAACAAATAATTATGGAAAGGTTTAAGGAGATCACATGTCATAATTTAAGGTGTCTTCTTTAGTCGTAGTAATGAAATATTTAACATGTTATCGTGTATGTTTATTGTTTATAAGCGTGTACAGTAATTTTTGAACAAGTAAAATACCAATATGTCATTGCTTCCTTCAACAGACGAGCCCTGATAATGGTCGTGTTCTTAGTAAGGTGACTAAAATTATGTTGTCAGATTTGCAGATGTTAATAAGTCTTCAAATGTGTTTTAAACCGAAGGCTAAAGCGTATACTCAAAGGAACCATGTACGATGTACGAGAACATTAACTTAACGCGTGATAGTATCGACAATAATAATTCATTGTACAAGATGACTCCATATTTCACGATAGCATCTGCTCTGGCGTTAAACGAGAATTCAAACGTGAACAGTGAACAGTAACCTGATCATCTGACATAGCTGCGACTTTGTAATCAGACGCCTGCGTGTTTGTGACAACAGGTCAACAACTGATAATGCCTGTAGTTTCATGAAGATAGGAATACAGTGTGTGCTCACACCCGACCCAGGCGGTAAATTATTAGCATTACCACGATTAAAGCCTGTCACTTTCTCAAATCTGAGACGATTGAAAGCAGGTTGGAGAAGCACATATCTTCGTGTATCAGCGTATTGTGAACAGATCTAGAGGTTGCACACTCAACTGAAGATAGACGGCTGAAACGCTAACATCCATTTATGTCAGATATGTTCCCGAAGAACGGAAATGGATCCGTTCAGGTCGAAGGGGTGTTACGTTTATAAAGAAGTATACATAACAGCGTTGTCCCTTTTACGAGAATATATTCATGTCATATGGAAGGGTTATGTTGAAGTGGTGTTTCGTTTAGGTGTCTACATAACAACTTTACACTTACTACTAGAATATATCTGTGTCATGTGAAAGGGTTTTGTCGAAGTGGCCCTACTTTTATAAAGAAGTATATATAAATATATATATATATATATATATATTTGTGTGTGTGTGTGTGTGTGTGTGTGTGTGTGTGTGTCCGTGTGTGTGTGTGTGTGTGTGTGTCATATGGAACAAACAGTCATTTCGACTGTATTTATTTGAGGGTATGTCATCCCATACTCAATAAAAGCGACAAAACCCATTCCATAATCATAAGAGATCTTGGGTAAAAGCAGTCGACTATATTAACTGCATCACTAGCAAATAGTGATGACACCAGGTGTTTCTGAGAAGGTGAACGTATGCTGCCCCACCGGTGGCACCCGTCACAAACTCACGGACTACGTGTGGACACAGGACAGAGAGGCTTTTACAACATTTAATGTATCACTAGTATCCTTAGCTACAGGCATCCTCGTGGATAATTTAATATTTTAAATGGGGCGTGTCATTCTTACCAAAAGGGCAAACACCAAATGTCTCGAACATCTTGTAAACATATGTATAAAATCAAATTACTTATGTTTTCAACACATATGCTTTCTTATTTGTCCAAGTGCGCTTTCCTAAATACCCTTTTTGATGGATTATTTTCTTAAGTTTTAACACATGTGTAATATTTAAGTCTTGTCAGCTGCCGTTTACATATAAAACACATTTATATTAGTTATGAATCTCTAAATGAGGAGGCTAATTATCAGTAAGAGTTACATACCTGAGTTATCGTCAAAACGACCTGTATTCACACACGGCTGTTTTTAAAGCATCAACACCAACTGTATGGACAATTACACCCAATCTTTATGTGTTTAATTTGCAAAATATGCTCCTTGCACAAGTACAGCGAAATATAAAAGTAATAAGTTCCCAGGTAAAGAAAGAGCAAGACTCTCATTTGGACTATCCTCTCTGATGCAAGATGACAGACGAATGGGAAATGTGTGGCAAGTTGTTCTGACAGTGAGGTTGTACCACTGAATAGATCGTGAACGTGGTACGTTTGACAATATTCTTGAAAAGTTTAGACATAAGATACGAGTAAGTGAGTAGAGAACACATTGACATCCCCCCCCCCCCCCCCCCCCCCCAAGTAGTTTCCAAGAAGGAGATTTCCATCGACACTGGGCATTGCCCGAGTGGAGGAGGGTCATTGGTCACCCAGTATACCAAGTGTTCGAGACCAAGCTTGGCTTTTATTCTGGTACAAAGAGCACGATATAACTGTGCTACCCCACCGCTTGTTACACGTAAAGCTGCCTTTTACGTGTAAAGCTTGTTGGTTTACGTGTAAAGCTCGTTTTATAACGCGTTAAGCTATTTGTTTTACGCCTAAAATTAATTGTTTGGGGCGTAAAGCTAAATTCATTAAGCGTAAATACTTTGACCAATGAAACTTCAATGTATGATTTACGCGTAATATGTGGTTAACATATGTGTTACACATATAGATATTGGTTGCAGTGAGTGAGTGAGTTAAAGTTTAACGTCACATCAGCAATATTTCAGCCATATCGTGACTTATTGGTTGCAGTCTTTACGAGTTTTTACGAATTATACTAATCCTGTATCGCGAGTAATGATGAATATTTTTAACTCAAATTGGAGTGTGTGTGCTACGTGTAAACCTATATCGATTTCTTCATTGGTCAGAGGCTTTACGCGTTATGACTTCAGCTTTACGCGTAATGCCTTTTCGCTAACGTGACAAGACATTAGTTTTACTTGTAACTGTACTATGATTTACATCATCTCTACGCTTTAGTTTATTAGCAGTTTGGTCTGGTTAGAGAAAACTCTCAACATATTTCTCATCGTTGTCCGCGTCTAATTCAACATCTAATAGAGATCATTTTCAAAACGTTGACCTCATTTGGTGAGGTTACATACCAGAAACGGTTTTATTGCCTTACCATGAAGTACGATCTATGTTACCTTTACGACTTCTGTGTCGATTTAAGAGGAGGTCACCTGGGACTCACGTTGGGCAAGTAATTTACGAAGCCTTAGTGTAGTCATTCTCAAGAATACTTTTAAAAATACAAACCCATCTCTGGCACAACATGGTATTTATATACTTTTGAACTTTGGAATACCTCTGTAAAGGCGATTATCCATCAGTTTACTCTCAACCACCAAATAATGTACATGTACGCAGGCGTATTGTCTGTTCCGCCCTTATAGCTTTATCGATGTTTATGCAAGCTTTAACAAGTGCAGATAATTTATAAATTACCGTCTTTATTTATTTAATTATGCTTCCAAGTTTAGTTGCAATTATGATTCAACTCAACAGGATAAACTGACAACAATTATTTGATTACATAATTAGAGTAATTCCCAAATTTATCATAACTATTATTTGACTTCATTGGAACATTAAAGTGGTAGGGCAATTATCTCTTGACCTGCATGTTCATATATTTAGTAATACGTAGAAAGGCTATCGTTTACCTTCGAAAGCATGGGATGAGGACATGGCTCATTAGTTCGTTTGTTTGTTTGTTGTTTGGGATGGATGATATATGCATCAACCAAGTCGGCGAGCCGGACCATCCGATCCCGTTTGTCGCCTCTTACGACAAGCATAGTCGCCTTTTACGGTAAGCATGGGTTGGTGAAGACCTATTCGACCCCGGATCTTCACGGATAACATGGCTCATTAGGTTTAGGTCTGTCAGATTGTCTGTCGTCGTAACAATGGCTTATCTGCTTCAGACTCGATTACAGCCGTGATAAAGCTGCCATTTACTCATGTGTGCATGTGTGTATGTGTGCACGTGTGCATGTGTGAAATTCACATTTCTTCAATAAGAATTAGAACTTTCAATCAGCGACTCCCAATTGAAACTGGTAGATGGTATACTATCAATGAGGAAAATGGGCTCACTTTGTAAAATTAATGTTGGCTATGAATTTCATTTTATATGAGATCCTTTAGTAAATATATATATTCCATCATATTATTGTAAATATCTATAAACTAATAAAAGTATTTCACTTAAGCCAAGCTGTTGTAAACCTCTTCTCTTCCGACTAGCTCAGTATGTTGAATGTGGACTGTGTTTGCTCCACTAGTTATTGTCTCTTTAATTCGCTGTATGGTTTGCTTTTCAACAACTACTCTATGTCACCCCCG